TGTCACTGTAATCGGGATCGGTGTTGTCTTCTAATTTTTCTGTTTCATCTTCTTCTTTTTTCACATCACACTTTTCAGTTGCCTCATTCTTTTGATTCTTTTTTGCAGGCAATGCCGTCTTCATGAATTGAAGAAACTCCTTATCGTGTATGTCAATAGTAATGACAGTCGGTTTTTGACGTTTGATTTCAGATTTATTTGGTTCTAAAAGGAAATGAACATGCAAGATTAGTTAAAAGTATTCCTTATTATCTGCTTTTTTACCATAAACTGGTGGACGAACGTTAATATCATTAGATCTGAAATCAATCTCCATTTGCTTTTCTTCTTTCATCTCTGTTTCTTTATTGGATGTTTTACTGGGGTACTCTTCTTCATCACTTTCTTCAACGTAATCTTCTGAACTGTCGCTTTCAACTTTGTAATCACAATCAAACTTATCTTCGTATTCGTCTATTTCAAACTCAAAATCAGACATTTTACATTTTAAGTTGTTCAGAACAAAACACTAGAAAATATTGAATAGAACCGCTTCAACGGCTGAAAACAACGTGGGCGAAAAATAGCAATCAAAACAAAAACGGTTGTCGGTGGCTTCTGCCCCACTGCCCAGACTGACTTTTTTCTCTGCACAGTTTAGTCACTGATTTACTGGACGGCCCTTTTGAGGTTGCTTCCTCCCCCGCTAAAAACATTTGTTTCAGCTGCTGCTGCCGCCACAGTAAAGCTAAAGCAACTTTTTCAAAAAAACAAGCGCTCGTATTTTTAGTGTTTCCAGAAACAATTTTTGCATAAAAAATTTTTCCGTAAGTAGTCTTTAAATTAATAAACAGATTTTTTTGATTTATTAAGTAACTTTGTTATTGTTTTAATTTTCTACAACACAAAACTGTATACTTATTTTTACCATCAAGCATTTAAAGAGTGATCACAACGTTGGCCCCATTATTTTTCACCTCTCAAAAAATAACAAATGATACTTTAATGGAAAGGTAATTTTGAGTACATTTCATATAAAATGTTTCAGAATGGAGTCATTTTTTGTTTTTGAGAAAATCGAGTCCAAAGTTTGCAACTTTCAATATTATTGTTGTTGTCTGCTCTATTACAGTAACGCCCTCTAACGGCGATTTTAAGTCTCTCTNTTTGCAACTTTCAATATTATTGTTGTTGTCTGCTCTATTACAGTAACGCCCTCTAACGGCGATTTTAAGTCTCTCTCTGCCTCCCAACAAAAATGACATGTTTTGGTCAACTTTGGACCCGATTTTCTCAAAAACAAAAAATGACTCCATTCTGAAACTTTTTATATGAAATGTACTCAAAATTACCTTTCCATTAATGTATCGTTTGCTATTTTTCGAGAGGTGAAAAATAATGGGGCCAATGTCTATGGGCAGTTGTGATCACTCTTTTGTACAAAGTTTTAGTTTTGTTTTTTGAAAATCATCATAAAGAAGAGCGCTGTATAGATGTTGACTTGAAGCAAGCAAACAAACATGGTTACAGTTTTTAAGCAATTTGCTCAATAATTAAACAAGAACAACATTACCATATAGAAAAAGCGGGACGTAATGCGATAGCCGTCCAGCAGATACATACAGTAAGGGCGCAGGCGATTACGAGCAGTGAGCACTTCCGCTTTGGCCAGCCAACGAACCAGATACGCTCTCTTCTGCTGCCACTGCTTTTGAACACTACTACCTACAGAGAAATATCGACAGTAAAAACGACTACTTGCACGTTCAATGGCGCTATTTCCGGCCGCCAGACGAGAGCAAACGCCAATGGGAAGGTAGAGAAAGAGACCGAGCGTAAAGAGGATGCCGATGAAGTAGGCCCGATTGAGCGGATGCAACCGAGGCTCAAAGAGGACGATGTAGGCGACGTAAGACTGCATGGTGATGAAGCCGCAGAAGAAAACGGTCAACGGCGTCGACCAAAAGATGGCCGTAGAGTGAATGTCGGAGCAGAGGTTGTTTAGCTCCTGATTAAGCTGCAGAAACTTGCAAAACCGAAGAATAAAAAATTTTGATTTTTTCATACTATTTTTCTTTTCTGGCTGTCGAAGAAGAGAAAACAGTTGTTTAAGCAGTGCTTGTTGTCGAATAGTCAACAACCGCACCGCCAATATGACAAATGTGGGCGTCTCCATCATCCCTTAATAAAAATACATAAAAGTTTAAAAAATAGTTATCGAAAATGTGTTACCATAAACCACGTAAAAGAAATGCAACGGATAAATGACCAGCCAGAGGGCGGCAGTTTTTAGTAGTGAAGACTTTACGTAGTGAAAATAAAAAAAGAAAACTAAAGTATAACTGAAAAGCATAGAGTTAACAAAAAGAACAGTGCGAATAACGGTTGTCCATTTTAAGATGAGCAAACGAGAATAAAGAATGGTTGCAGAAACTTCCGGCAAAAGTTCTAAATGTTTATAATAATACAGAAAAATTAAAAAAAGGTTTTTTATATATTTTTCAACTTTTTACTTTTTCCTGAAACAGTCAAAACAACTGAATTTGCGTCTTCTTCTTTAGATGCTTTGGTCACATTTTTTGCACTTTTTACTTCATAACGGGGGACTGCGGTGTTTGGTTTAAAAAGAAAAGTAAAATACATGACAATTGAGAGTAAACATGATAAACTGTACGCCATGTCTGATTGGGGCCAGGTTTCCTGAGGCAAAATCAGGTGGTACATTAAATGCGGACAACTGATAATCTCTTTACGGCTATTAGGCCATTTTCCTGTAACCGAGTAAGCAATGTACACATTGCCGTACAGGTATGTGGTAATTAAAATTAACAGAGGGAACAGGTACAATGTTTCAGAGGGTCTATTAGTGTTGTGTTTTTCAAAATTTAAAACAGAGTGAGCATTAAGTAACGGGTCAAAATTATAAAACAGGGTCAGTGCATAGCGTTTTAGGATTTTTATCGGGTTTTGCAATTTCATTTTAAATCATTGAAAATTATTGTGTAAAATAAAATTTTAACAACACCACTATGGGCAAAACTTTTTAAACACTTAAAAAATATATTGTAAGTTAAAAAAAAATTTTAAAATTGCTTTCTAATTTTTGAATCAATATTAAAATATTGTTTATAAAGTATTGTTAAACACAACCACAAAATTTTAATTCAACTTGAAAACAAGCAATTAATTTTATTGTTATCTTTACATAAAACATAAAAAATTTTATATATTTAAAAATTTTATTAATAATAATTAAGCAATTAAAATTAAAATTAATTAATTTTAAGTGTTTGAAATAAATTAAAATTATAATTATAAAAAATTTAAATTTTATTTTTTTCAAAAGTCTAACTTGTTTTTAATGTTAAAAAACAACAAATTTTACAATCATTGTCAAGCAGTTAGATTTATTTGTAATCTAAACCAAAAATAAAGCAATAAAATATTTAAAAAGTTAAATTTTAAGTTTGATCAAAAAGTTTTCATGTAATTGAACTTGAAATTGCAACAATTTGTCAATTTTTTTAACTAGCAAATTGTAACTTTTTTAGTTACCAGACTTGCATAGAATGCAAAAAAACAACAACAAACTTAAAACAAATGTTAGAATAATGAACAGGTTAATGAGGGGTAGCGTGAATTGTTGAACTGCCGTCGTTGCTGCAGTTAAACTAGTTTAGAGCGGTGAACAGGCAGACAACACCGGTGAAAAGTGAAAAGAGAAGAATCTGAAAGAAGAACAAGAGAAGCCACACACACTCACTCACTCACTCACTCACTTTCACCTGAGCGTTCACTGTTTTGAGCAGTCAGTCATCTTTACCTGCAAGTGAGAAACGACAGTTGTTAACGACAACAGCAAAACATGATTTTTTCTTCTGATTAGCACTAACAAAAAATTTGTATAAAAAACTAGTTTAGAATCAAAACAACAAAATTAAAACATAAAAGCCCCTGATTTGAACATTTGTAATTGAGCTTGCTATCAAAACACACATTTTACGCTAATTACCTTAACATTTGCTCAAGCATTGCCACTTTGAAGCTATCCCTCATCATGTTGCCACCACCACCAAACAACGCCGAACTTCAAAACTCTATCGCCAACATTCGAGCCCGTTTTGAAGCCGAACTGGCCGTCAACCCTGACCTTTACCACCCGATCGACGTTAAGCGTGTTCGCACTGAAGACTGGCAGGTGAAACGCTTTCTGCTCAACACTGAAAGCGGCGATGCTGAGGACGAGGCCTTCCACTCTCTGCTCAGCGCACTTCAGTGGAAGAAGGCGTTTGGGCTGCACGACCGAACTGATNTTACCACCCAATCGACGCTAAACGTGTTCGCACTGAAGACTGGCAGGTGAAGCGTTTTCTGCTCAACTCTGAAGGCGGCGATGATGAAGACGAGGCCTTCAACTCTCTGCTCAGCTCACTTCAGTGGAAGAAGCGGTTTGGGCTGCACGACCGAACTGACGCCTACTTCCCGCGAGAGCTCTGGCTGATGGCCAAAACGGAGCTGTACGGCCGAGACAAGTCAGGCCGTCTCATCTGGTGGCAGGCGACGAAGGGCATTCGAAACTTCTCCGAGACGGCGCTGCTCGCTCGCCAATTCTACGCTCACTGTTTGGAGCAGGCAGACCGAGCAGTGGGCGAGCTGGGCGGCACCTTCATCGGCGACACCAAGGGCGCCTCCATTCTGCACGTCGACCACCGGCTGGAGCAGTTCAAAATAGGCCTGCTGCCCTACTATCCGCTGATTGCTCGAGCTGTCTACATCGTCGACCTGCCGTGGCTGATGACCGGCGTCGTCAAGCTGATCATGGGCTGGTTGGACGGCAGTCTGCGAAAGAATGTTCACTGTGTCAGCTCAGCGGTTTTGGTTCCCGATGTGGTCGAGGAAGAGATCACCCCGGTTGCCCTTGGAGGAACGAGAAAGCGCTACGAAGGACTGCCTGACGGAGTTCAGTCATTGGAGGCACTTGCTGAGCAGTTTGGCTTTACGGAGGAGTTTGTGAAGCGGTTCTACAAGGTGACTGGTCTTTCCAAGTAGGTCTAAAAAGTAAAAATTGAATTTAAAGTACTGCGTTTTTCTTTATACCTTGTTTATTTGTCACAACTTTTAAGTAAATATAAAACTAGACTAAAGATATGAGTTTGCTGTAAAGTAAAATTTTTGGTGTTTTTACCAGTCAATAGAATCGGTAGAGTAAAACTGCTTATACCAGCGACGGTACTTGATCAGCGGTTTTTCAGTTTTGGTCGCCAGAGGACGACGAACAAAAGCTTTTCGATTCCAGATTTGAATGTCCCGTTCAACCTGTTCAATAAATAAAGTTCAAAATTTTTTTAAAAACGTCATTTTTACATTTACCATTTTTGCCTCAGCGTAAAGTAAAAATTTGCCCATCAGGTAACTTAAAATTCCCTTTCGCTCTATCCAAGTGTGGTAGACAATGCGATTTTTGAGAGGTGAGATGGGCGTCACAAATTCCATGTAAGCACCCTTCAGTTTGCCCAAGAAACCATCACTTTCAAAAAAGATTTCAACGTGAGCCGGACCAGTCAGTATAATGGTGATCTGCAGAGTAAAGAGGGTAAATCGACCAAAAAGGACATTTGGATTGACCATCTTCACAGTGGCCTGGTGCGGGGCGGGACCCTCTGACCACTGAGCAGCCCAATTGTGCTCAAAGATTTTCCACTTTTTGATGCGATTAAGCAGAGCAAAGTTAGAACTTATAAAGGGTGCGGTGTGAATTTCAGGCAAATGGGTCAAATCGGCGGCATTTTCGAGTATTTCCTAATTTAAAAAAATTACTGAAAAAATGTTTAAAAATGTTTTTAGTTACCTGAGGATGTGCCAAGATGGTGTGATCAGTGCGACCGCAGTAGGCCCATTCTTTACTGGCAATTTCGGGCACTGGAACCAGCTCCCAGGAAGGCGGTTCATTGAGAACGTGATGCCAAACGAAGATGTACCCGTTCACTTCAACGCTTGTCCAAACTTTTACCTTTACGTTCATTGGAGCTAAAATGAAGAATTTTTTAAAAACACTAAATTTATATTTTTACAAACAAAAAAATGTACTCACAATCCTCATAGGGAACATCAGAGCACTGGCCATCGGTCAACCGGAATGACCACCCGTGAAAGGGACATCGAACGCAGTCTTCTGCAGTTTTGTTGCTGCACTGACCGCTTTCTTTACTACCTTGAGCCTGATTTGCCTGTTGATAAACTTGCCCACCGACAGCAAAGTTGGCGCCCAAATGAGGACAAAAGGCGTCAATGACGTAAACCTGACCGGCGGCGCCTCGGACGACAGCCACTTCGAGGCCAAGGCAAAGAGCCGATTTCACCTGGTTCAAGCCCAGAGCCCGAGACTCAAGAATGGGGATCCAGCCGTTTGGAAAGTAGGGTGGGTGGGCGTTTTTGCCTGTGTCATTGTTCAGCTGGCGAACCTCTGGTGGAACTTCTTCAATGTATTTCTGAAACGATCCAAGTTAGTAAAGTGACATTTAAAAATACATATTCAAAAAGAAACTTACCACGACCACTTCAGTGAAGGTAACCAGTTTGTAAAGCAAGTAAATAGTGAACAAAATAAAACTAGTAAAAAGGTAGTTTGAAAATGCAAAATTCCAAACAGTGCAAGCAAAGTTTTGAAAAATTGCCAAAGGTACAAGTTCATCGTTGAAAAAGATCATTTTGAAAAAAACTGAGTAATTTCTTGTGACAAAAGAAATGTTTTTTAGCCTTTAGCACGTCAATAAAATGTTAAATTTTAAAAACATTTGTCATCAATTGCAGTGCAGCGTTGTGGACAAAAACGGTGCGATAAAGACTATACGATAAACTTGAACAAACAGCCAATAAGCTATTTTTAATGTTTCAATGTTGTTGCTGTATTGAATTCGCCTGCTAAGCAAACCAGTTCTTTCAACTGCAAACTTAATATGAGATTACAAATGTACGCTGCACTTTAGCACTCTGCAACAATGTCTGCAATGTGTGCATGTGCCGTTGTCAACGATAAAAAAATAAGTGTTTTTAACAATATTAATTACCATTTTTTGACGCATTAAATAAAGATTAAACAATAACAAAAACAAAAATCAATTTGTTCAAAAAAAATGATATTTTTTCTTTTCATTTATTTTTTTTACAAATTTTTCTGTCCGGAAAATAAAAATGCGGTTTAAACTAATATAACAAGATAAATGGCATTTTTTTAATGATACTAAACTTAAGATGATCAGATAACTAGAGATATTTAATATAGCGGTTTTTCAGTTTTTATTGATAAGCATTTTTATTTATTAAAAAAATACAAAATCTAGAAACATAGAGTTTAGACTGGATTGATTAAAAAAATATTCTGCACAAAATGGTTATTTTAAAATTTTGATAAAGTAACCAAAAATGCTTTATTTAAATTTTTTATTTTTTAAATAAGTTTTTAAATACAAATTAAAATTCTTGCCTCTAAATTAATTTATATTTGTTTTGGATTGATTCTAAACCCTTTGGTTAACCAGAAAACCAAAACAATTTGGAACGTTGTCTTTTTTGGCCGATGCTGTGCTGCCGTGCTGACTCAGGTTGCGCGCTCTCGCTGCTGTTATTGCCGCCGCTTTTGCCCTGGGTTGCCGGGGGAGCACAGTTGTTGCAGAGGGATCTGTAAACAGCTTATGCGGCAAAATCTGATCGACCTGATGTTTGTGTCTCAGGTTTGTCTGTTTTTTAAAAGTTTAAAATTTGTTAAAAATTACTTTAATTTTTGGGCTTTTAGATCTTAATCTTTGCTCTACCCCTCTACCTTTGGTTTTTGCTGCTCAACGGTAGCTTGATGGCACTTTTTGATGAGAAACCTTTCGGGTACTGGACTTCATTGAAAAACAAACTTATCTTTCCGCCTGGCTACTCCAAACGACAAACTTTTTCATCAGTGAATTTTTCGAGCTGGACTGCGCTTAAAAAGAGTTTCCGAACTGCTGCTTTCAGCAAAAAATCAAAAAGTAGAGTTGATGCTAAAGAAAAACAAGAAAATGTGAAGATGCAAAATTTTCAGCAGAAAATGAAATCAAAAAATGATAAAAGTGGTGCTCAAGTTAAAGCTGAACCAGAACTGGAACCTTGCATCAAAATGATGCTGAAGGTTGCCAACAGAAAAGGCCACTTTACCTGGAAGATATTACTAGTGAAACTTGCTCAACTGGCCACCATTTCCATTATGATTTCCTTCTGGAGCGATTTTCTGAGCGAGGAACCCGGGCTAGAAAACTTTGCCGACTTTCCACTCTACAGAGCTCGGGCAGTGGCCTACTACTGGACTTTGGCGTTCTGGTCGCCTGAAGAGTCGAGAAGTCTGCACTTTCCGTACCACTATCCGGGAGATGTGGTGAGTTAAAAAGGAGATTTTTTGTATATAAAGTTTACTGATATGATTTTTATCATCAACAGTTCTTTCCTATCCAGTTCAAGTGTCGCCGTCAGATTGTCGGTCCCAGCGGTTCGCCGAACATTGTCACCTTGGTTTGTCTCACGCGCAGCAACTACTTCCTCGAGCGACTCATGCTCGCCCTTTGGTTCCTGATGGCAGTCACATTTGCTTATCAGCTCATCTCATTCCTGGTCACCCTGCTCCATTTGATCATCCCCGCTCTCGGTCGCCGTTATTTTCTGGGTGTCTCAAAGTACAAAAAGTACTTTGACGATGAAAACGAGGATGATAAAGTTGAAAATGAGGTCTGGAGCAAAGCCATCGAATCAGGGTGTGTTCAGAAAAGTTTTTTCCAGTATTTTCATTTGGTCACCTTTGTGGCATTGGTAGGAAGTTTTTAGAACTTTTTTTAAATTTTTCATTCTTAATGTTTTAACTTTTTTTGGTAGATGATTTCCATTCTCGGCAAAACTGCCACGGCTCGCCTTTTGAAGCACCTTCTCTATGAGTGCTCTAAGGAGAAGGCTAAAAATGTGATGACTTTGGTTGCTGCTGAGACGGATGATTAAGATGAAGATACGGATGAAGGTCACTGGTGAAAAATAAACTCAATCTATCTTTTGCAACAAGATTGCCAGAATCGACTTTTAATTATTTTACAATTACTTTGACTTATTACTTTCAACCTAATTCCTGTAAAATCCCCATCTGAACAACCACACAACACCTACACAACATAATGTACTCTAAAACGGTTCACTAGGAGC